ACATTTATATATTTTGTTGCGGGGGATGAACCTAAGATTTCCCACCTCCCGGGCTAGCACTGTAACCACTACACCACGAAGGCGGTCGCTTTTAACAGTATTTCAGTTATATCACGGCATCTCAGCTGGATGTAGGTGAAACACACGAATCTGGAGTTCGAACCCACGATAATTTGTTATGTGGCATGCGTAATGGACGGAGTCCATCGCCGAACATATTTTTGGTAAATAAAATCATGTGAACATTTCGTAGATAAATACCTAAATCATTTTATGTTACAATAAGGACAAATTTTACAGAAAAAACTTCATTTATTTCGTGATGAAACATTCCTAAAGATCCGTTGTCAGTGTGGGATAACGGTAAATGTGTCTTTATCGAGAGGTCGCACGCACAAAATAAATGAAGTTTTGTATGCATAAAATGTGTCTTTACTGTACACACCAACTTTTAAAATACCACTCAAATATGCATCTGGGGTCATCTTGCCTCTGGAACTATCGTAAAATCTGATTCAGTCACTTTTGACTTCTTCCCTAATTTACTTTCGGAAACACCTCTAAGTTTCCTTGTCGACACCCCTTGCTGTCGATGCTATTCAAGCTGAAAATAGAAACCATTTATTGTTTACTAATTTAATCTACTCTTAAATTATTTACGAAAGGTTTTCTGCATACATAAAAAGTTATTTCAAAATACATATTCCCCAAGATAGAAAGAATTTATTGCACTGAAAAACTTTCACAGATTTTTCTTCTGCGAAGTGGCATTGTAAAAACACCCCCACCTAATTGCATTAAACGATATTCGTCGATGTATTTTTGTGGATATTCCCAGTGGAAGTATTTTTAAATCTTAGCACCTTGATTTGAAACGGCAAAAATCAGTTTCTTTCTATTTTGACACTACTTTTTAAATCGAGCGATACGACCTAACCTTGACAGTGATGAAAACAAAAAGAGCTATACAACTTACGTAGTAAAAAGCTTCGTAATGCTTTCATACGCCTGAGACTTGGCCTAAATGATTTATATATCAGTCAAGGAAGATATTCATCTATTATAAAATCACAAAGGTTCTGTCCATTTTGTAATACTGTAGAGAATGAATTACACTTTCTATTTCTTTGTCCTGCATATAATGATTTAAGGCAACTGTATTTTTCACAATGGCTACAATCAAATATTAATGCTACAAAACTATATTCAATACTTTCATGTAAAGCATCCCTATTACAATATAAAGGTAGCTCTATTTATTTATCACGCGCTTATATTGAGAAGAGATTCAATGTAACGTGTGTGTCGCATGTTGTATATGTTGTACATATCATACATATTTATTATGTATATGGGCCTCTGGCCTTCATGCAATAAACTGATACTGAGAATCGTCATTCTGCGACCCAGACGTTCTAATATGCCATGTCGCCTTTTCCAAACTATAGGATAAAACCCACTGAAGAATCTCGTGTAATTCAGTAATTCACCACGGGATGACTCGGGTAAGATATAACAAGAGCTGTCATCTTGAAATTTGTTTCTTCAATTTAATTTATCAGACTATCGATATTTTCACACAGGCTCGGCTCATAAAGCAGAATTCAATCAAATATGACATCGATGACGGCCGGAGAAAAATGAATCTCCCAAAGAAAAACAAATTCCATTTGTGAACGAAATATATTTCAATCAAAATCTCCTTGTGTTACAACACCTGCGATGTTTTGTGAGTGAGCCACGATGGCTTATGGTAGCTACCGAAATTATGTAAGCAGGTGCGAATGAGTTTAGTTTAACGCCGCCCAGAACAGTATTTTATTTGCAGCGTTTAGAAGGAAGAAATCTCGAAGTGATGCCTGTGTTCAACGTTCACTACTTTGGTTAAGCCCACTTTGGCGTATCGGGGATTCGAACCAGTGATAACAGTTTTCTGCTATTTCAGAAGGACATGACTCTGACGACTGACGAATATTTTCGATCCAAATAGGCCAACACAGTTGAGACGGTAAAGAGACCAACAGAATAGAGAATGAGTGGGCGAGGAGTTTTACGCCGCTTTAAGCAATGTTCCAGCAATATCATGGCTTCACACATATTACCACATAATACTGAACGACCTCATAACCTTATAACCAAGATCATCATCATTCTTCCTCTCTTCATCCGTGAGAGTGCTCCGGGTCCTCTACATCGTTTATGTGCCATAGTGAGTGAGTGAGTTTGGTTTTACGCCGCTTTTAGCAATATTCCAGCAATATCACGGCGGGGGACACCAGAAATGGTCTTCACACTTTTCACCCATGTGGGTAATCGAACCCGTGTCTTTGGCGTGACGAGCCAAAGCTTTATTCACTAGACTACCCCACCGCCCCTTATGTGACATAAAATGTGACGGTTGATGGTGTTACTCATGATATCCATCACGGGTTTGTCTGAACCAGATAATTGTACTCACCTACCGCCGTAATTGTGTTGCAATATTCCCGAGTACGGCGGCCTATAACAACATTCACTTGCTCGAGGGGAATCGAACTCGAGTGAGTGAGTGAGTGAGTAAATACCGCTTACTTCCGCATCAGGAATACCGCAGCCATTCCGGGCAGTGAACTGAACCAGAATCCACTGTGATTAAAACGTGGAACGCTAAGTTCAGAATGTTACATCACTATATGATGTCCGACTAACAGAGAATGTCGTAGTCTGTCTCACAGTCCCTGAACCATATTATTTTCCCTTCAGCCTAGCCCTCCCTGCTATGCTTAAGCTCTAAATGAAGCAAGTCTAGTTCTCCCCAATCTCTGGTCTCCCTTGGGAACCTTTTCAATTTAAATGGGTTTATTTGTTACAATCAAAATTATGCATTCAGAGACTAAGTATTAGTCTAGGAATGTCGTTCAACAAATACTTTCCAGTTGAAAATATCTGTATGGGCAAAACATGGTTGTTTCATAATATGCCAAGGCTACTCTGATTTTCAAAATCGCTGTAACTCTATAGTTTTTCCTTCCTGAATTGTCCAGGAAGCCAATAATCAACTGCGTCAACTTGCTTATTTCTCTGACGTCAGATATATTGAAACATCAGTCTTGCAAAAACCGTTGTGATATATAATTTGGCTTCAAGTATCTGAATAAAACTTAGTAAAATTCCAAGAACATATATTTTTAGACGATACTTGAAATGAACACATTTCCTCGTTTGCGCAGAACAGTTTGCTGTAATCGGAGCAGAAAGAAGTTTATGTGTCTATTTGCGTTTTCCCTGATCTTGAGACGTCCTCGAGAATAGCACCAATACTATAATCTTGGTTAACGGGTTTCTCCAGGATTCATATAGTAATACAGAACGATCAATTCTACGGAATCGGCGAAAGCTGGTCATGGAAAGATATCATATTCCATATTATTATTCATTCCAAGATACCACATTCCCCCTTTGAACTAATAAACTTGAACTATTCATGTAATATAGTCAGCTATCCTAAGGGCATGAGATGAAAGATGCCTACTGTATTCATTTTGAATAAAGATGAAGTAAACTATCAATAATATCCTTAGCTCCATTCTCCATATTCAACTTGTCATTTTTAGATCAGTTCTAAAAATTCTAAACTGTAATGTTAACAGCCCCCCTCAAGCCCAGAGTAAATTTTGTAAACGCTAATAACTAAACAGCACAAACTTTTAACGTGCTGTAACATCATTTGCCCTACCGTTCCTTGGTGGTTGATATTGGTTCGAACCACTCTGTTGTTAATTGGCATGATGGGGCGGTTGTTGTTGGCCACGATGTTGTTTGGGTCGTCTTTTATACCTTGTTGAAGGCGCCGTAATGACGTCAGCTGCAACAAACAAAACTTACTTTGAATTTAAGAAATAAAATGCTAGTCCGGTAGTCAGAACCACACCCTTACTCGTTGGTATTACCAAACGTCTGAGCGTGGAAAATGACTAACCCTGTGCCCACACTCCTTTACAATGGACGGACATACTCTGACGTAACTGGGGTGCTGTTAAAACGACGTTATATCCGACTGGGCTGAGCCGAACGAATCGGGATATCAGAATGGCAAAGAGGGACGAATTTTGTGTAACGGCAGTTTGACAGAAAGATGGTTATATCACCGCGTGCTGCTTGAAGTGAGAGGAAAGCCCCAAGCGAGGTAGAACATTTATTACTGGTGAAATCCGCCATTGGGTCCGACAAACCTAGAGACATTATCAAGACTTTATGCCATTGCCTAGAGGAAGGTAACCAAGAAGCACAATTTATTGATAAATCCGACATTTTCAGAACATATGAGCCTGTCAGTTTTGTCCAGTTAAATGCCAAATCAATAGATCTGACTGGAGACCTATAAGTTCTTTAGAACGGTCCGTTCACATTCTCAGTATGCCAACGTAATTGACATCACCATCGACTGTTGACATGGCCGTGCCTCTCCAGTGTTGAATGTCAAGTGTATATCGATATGGTCTTGGTTGATATTCTGTCCTCTCTTCGCCAGGACAAAGTATGACATACAAACTCAGCCAAATGCCACTTCAGCTCATCATCGAACGCCAAATGAGTTCAAAATACTTAAATAAATCTCCCCCCGTCAACTTTTAAAGGTTTGCGTATAGGTCATGCAGCTTACCTTTATGCAACTGAGGAAGAAAGATATTTATATTTGCATTTCATATTTGGTTGTGGCAAAAACTGTTTCTTTGCGTCAAACTTAACAGACGCCATAAGCATCGATCTTTGCAACTGGCAGTCTGCGAGCCTGACAATCAGATCCCGTTAGTTGCGTTTTTGGTTGTTGAGGGCCAATAAACCGGATCTTAAATACGCAGGTGTTGTATATACACAAGCTGCAGCCTGTCACAAAAGATAAACAGACAAATAAACAGGCAGCCGTTAAACTAGACAAATAATGAATCTAACATGCTTACCATATCTTTTGAAATGTATATGGGCTTGTTGAATATGACGCACGTGACCGTCTCATAACATCCGGGTTGTGTGAGTGAGCCCTCGTACGTGACGTAATAGTTGGTGTTGGGGAAGAGGGCTTTGGCGGAGATCGTCTCTACCCGGGTTGACTGGCCTGGGAACAGATAAACGTCATGATTAAAACATGGTTCCAAACAAAACGATAAATATTTCGCAAAAATCAATTTTTGTTGGATATGATTGATAAATATCCGTTTCGGTAAGTTTTGGAACAGTGATCTAATTAATTATTGCAATCTACAGTCCCTTCGAGTTCGTTATAACCCAACTACATTGTACATGGAAACCATGCAGGAATCCGACCATCTCTCCACAGTGACAGCAACTACCGTGACCACTAGGCCCCATAACCTTGGAAGCATCTCATGTTCCCAACAAAAAATTCGAAATGATAATTAGGAGATAATCCAACAGTGTTTACATTTTGTGAGTGATTATAGTTGGTTGAACGCTGCTAAATGTTTCATTTAGCAGCGGTCAACCAACTATAATTACTTCCAAAATGTAAACACAGTTGGATTATCTCCATTCTACCATGACATATGCACCATGAATAGAACGCGTTTTGAATATGCACTCATTACCCTTGCGTAGTGTTTTGACACTACGCGCAGTGAACCGGCTCTCAGAAGTGCTTATTGAAAATTTTTCACTTCTAATTTTTTAGTAACAGCCAATCAAAAACGAACATACTTAAAAGTCATGGTAGAATAGTGGTTAAGCGTTCGCTCGTCACGTCGAAGATCCGGGTTAGATTCCCTACATGGGTACATTGTGTGAAGCCCATTTATGGTGTCCCCGGCCGTGATATTGATGGAATATTGCTAAAAGCGACGTAAAATTAAACTCACTCACTTAATATTTTGTGATAGAGAAACAAACTTTGACGGATGTATAGCTAAACAAAGTGTCAAAAATTGTGAAATTTGTGTGCGTTCTAACTGATGTCTTCATGTCTCAGTGATCGGATGCCCCAAGGGACCATATTACGACAGGACCTAATTTCACGCTACGACGACCCACGTTTCAACCAAGTTCATCAACATCCTACGGGACGGCAGGAGAAACTACCAGATCATTGTTTCTACAAAGCATGAAATGTAAACTTGCAGCTGATCTGTCACGCTAGATAAAGCACGATAAAACATGTCCATATACATAATGACATAAAAGGAATGCGGTGACCCAGGGAGACATGGACACTGATGTATGTGGGAGATGCTATCCAGGACGTGCGGATGGCGAATAACTTCACCTGGAGTTACATCCCCATTATTTCCTATTTTGGAGGGTGGGGTGTGTGTGCCTGTTCACTGTGGGTGAGTGAGTGAGTTTAGTTTAACGTCACACTCAGCAATATTCTAGCTATATGGCTATCTGTAAATAATCGAGTCTTGACCAGAACATAAAGTTATCAACAGCATGAGCATCGATCTGCGCAATTGTGAACCGATGACATGTGTCAACCAAGGCAGCGAACCTGACCAGCCGATCCCGTTAGTCGCCTCTTACGACAAGCATGGGTTGCTGAAGATCAATATTCTAACCCGTGTGTTGTGGGCGCCAGATACCACAATGTCTCACATATAATAACAGACAGTAAAAGACTCCATCAAATGTTTATAAGATAATGATAAAAAATATGTCAAAATGTTGAAGCAATACAAGATAAACGCCAATCCTACAATAGAAACGTTTATCTTCCGAAATTATAATGTTTTAAGTCATAAGCATCCCATCAATATATCAAAAGAGCTTTACTCAAAAACATTAAAATGTAACGTCAAAACAGATATGCTAAAACCAGAAAGTTAAATGGGATTTTCTTTCGTAAATGATAGACAAGATTACTTAAGGAGAGCATTTTATATTTCTTGTCAGATGTAAATGATACATCAGTTCTTATTTTGTGTCATTATTTTGTTTATAGCCATGTTTCGTACTCTGCATCAAGGCCGAACGTGCGTTCAAGTTGCCCAACACACCATTCACTTGTCACATTTAACAACGGTAAATAGTCAGTTGACCGCCTCCGTGGTGTAGTGGTTAGAGCGTCCGCCCGGAGAGCGAAAGGGCGCGGGTTCGATCCCCGACCGCGTCATACCAAAAGACGTTAAAATATGGTACTTGTTGGTCCCTGCCTGGCGCTCGGCATTAATGGGTACAGCAAGGACTGGTCGGCTCGGAGTCTGTATAATGGTTCTGAGTGGGTATTCAACTATTCGTGCTTCACTGCGGCATGGTATCTCCAGTGGGCTAGCACTATGAAACCAGCTTCAGTCTGGGCTAGTAATAAGCAGCCGCACATACACGCATGCACGTCGTCATATGAGCGAAATATTCTCAAGCACGTTAAACCCAATTTCACCTCACCTCACTATCCAATTGAAACGTGCATTTGTGGATTTGCCCACTGCGCTGTGTAGAGATAACCTCCCTTGGTCCGAGGATTCGATCTAATCCGAAATTCGAGCTTAACATTAACATAATCCTTTTTCTTAGAACACATTTCACAAAAGTTACTATTGCTGATGTGGCGATAAACATCAAACAAAAGTTATTAATATCTAAAAATTTTAGTCCTTGTGAGCCTTTGGAAGATTTCATCTCGCAAATGCAGCATCGATGTAACCACCAATAAATTCTCACTGAGGCAGGAACCCTGATGTGAAAATAGTATCATGTCATAGGCAAGCATTGATAATAAACTATTTTCGATTTAAGCGGCATGAGAGCAAGTTGTATAAAAATACACAACACAATTAAACTGACTATAAATAGTGAGACTTCACATCACATTCACGATCAAATATGGTCTCTTTAACACTGACACGGTATTAATTTGCGTCTGATTATGGCATTCTAAAATACTCTTGTACTTCTTGTGACTTCCTCTGGTCGATGTGGCGAGCCCAGACTGTATTCCCCACACACACAGGATCACTAGAGTTTCCACACTGTCAAGAGTATTTACCAACCGTGGGGATATATATCAGCTGTCATATCTAAGTCGGCCCCAGGAAGTGACCACGGCAGGGAAGTATCATTATACGTTAATTGTAACGGGAACAGAAACGTAATATACCAGCTGACTCACGTCAAGTTTCGAGTCATGTGATGGAGATATGTCCTTTACACCAGATGAGCTAGGCGCGTTTTCTCTTAAATATTATGGTTAGATTTATGTAAATATACTCTCCCAAAAAAAAAGAAACGCATATAGGAATTTCAACTGTATTTTTATGTTTATTGTGATACATCTTGTAGGCTTTATGAGTCAATGAAATATAGCGAAATTGCACACTGGGAATGCAGACTTATCCGTCTTTGGCACCAACTCGAGGAAAGTCAGTTTGAGTGTCACATGGAGACGTGTGGTGGCGCTGAAGTTAATACCTCGTGTGACCACCGTGGGCATCCAGAACTGCACGGCATCGCCTCGGCATCGAACGAAGTCTCAGAATCTCGTGTTGCCCAATCGCAGCCCACTCTGCCTGTAGTGAAATGGTGCTTTGGTGAACATTCACGCGTCGGGCAACTGCACGTTGAGCCTGGCCAGCTTCAAGCAAACCAATGGCGATATGACGGTTGGCTTCACTTAGACGTGGCATTTTGCGTTCGTCAACAATTTTCCAAATACAGTGAATAATCGACAGACAGCGATCAACCTTTTATACCCATCACTGAGACTATCTGATCCCCAACTTTCACGTACATTGCATTTGAATTGTGTATTCTGTGACACTACACGCCGAAATTGAAAATTATGCTGTTATATACGGGTATTTTGCTGATGGTGCGTTTTGTTGTGATGTTTCAAAACATAAACACCATATGACTCATAAACAGAGCAAAACCTTTTGTAAAATGAACCACGTTTTAATTCATTGCTACAAGAATTTGCTATTTTCATGATGCGTTTCTTTTTTGGGAGAGTATATATGAACACAGACAAAACTGAAGATGCCGGATACAATAACAACACTGATCATTGTGACACTGATCCCAAAGACGTCGATGGTGAATTGACGAGATTGTTTTACGCTTTTAGCAATATACATGCAGTATTACGGAGGGATACTAGGCATCCAGACATTATACTCGTTGGGAAGCAAACCCGGAACTTGAAGAGCCACAATCACGACCCTTCTGCTATTTACTGAGTAAGAGCATCGATCTCTGTTGTTTTGTTTGTCAACAATTAAGACTCTTTCGCGGAATAACTGTGCCATTTTCATGACACCTGTTCGATATTATTCGGTCCTACCACGCCTTCTTCCACAAGACCACTTCAGTGATGTCATCGCGAAACTGCATAGCTTTAAGGGACAACTGGGAAATTAACCAATAATGTATGTTTGTCATAGTAGATGCACGAGTCAACTCGTGACCACACCACAAAATGGACCAAATCAAGATTCAACAGGATGCTGATACAGATCAGATGATGCATGAGAAAAGTAACGATGACAATGCATCTGACATGTTACAGATGTTGAACCGTAACCCTGATTAAGCTGCCATTTGCTACAACTCCATGACGTTAACCCTAACACCCAGCGTTTAGGCTGTCAACCAATATTGATCAAACCAGAAGAAATATGAAATATTCACGAATTGTACGTGATCGCATTTCTAACTTAACGCTTTGGAGATTATAAAAACTTATTTTCTAAAGCATCAATTTCCATGCGTTCCTGGAGACAATGCCTCGTTGGGGGATCTGTGTAATATCATCAGCGAGGGGGCAATGCCGGAAGATACAATTCTGGTGACCTTTTGGTTTTACAACACTGCATATTTGCATGTCATCAAACAGAAATATTTGTCATGTAATGCATAACGTATCATGAGTGTGTTGCGAGTAAAATAATATTGAATGTTATTAAAGACAACATGAAACCTGGAAGTCCAAACGTTCCCCGGGTCGAATTCATTGATCCAACCAATGCTTTATTGTCATTGGAATTAGGAGGGACTACACTGAATTTAGACTATATTGTGGCCAAAAACAAAGCGCAATGTCTATAAACAACACAATGGTTGGAACCAATGTCAACCAGAAACGGTAGGAGCAACGGCTTAACACTAGCT